GTTTTCCTCTATTATTTAAGTATCTGTATGTTTACTATATTTAGGGTTTGGGCCTCATTTTCTGGAACTGGATGTATCTCATTTGTTTGTTTGCTCTTGTTTGTCATATAAACAGTATGAAGTGGGCCTCTGCAGAGCACATGCATAATTGCTTCTATATGACCATCTCTTTCTCTTGATCAGTCCATGGTGTCAATTGGCATAAATACCTGAAGGGTAATTTCTTAAGCAGCCTACTAAATTTATTAACCAAGGCACACTCAGCATGCCAGGATTCCAGAAAGAGGGTAGAGAAGAAAGGATGAAATGCAAAGTATAGAGCAAGGAGGAAACATTTTGAGTCTGGAGAACAGCTTTGAGTGCAAATTGGATATTGATTGATTCCTATTGAGAATCAATTGTACTTTGCAAATTAGTTTTTTAGACTGGGCTAAAGGCTGTACTAGAGCTCTTATTGTTTTGGATGCACTGCTATGCCGATTTTTTCACATATAATTGCTGCTCTGTGGTCACATATCAATATATATGCTATAGTATACACTATGCTTATAATACAAATAACTCTCACACATCATTGCTTCATGCTGCAATTGCAAGGGAATGAAAAAGGAATTTGAAAGATCAGATAAGCTTTATCTTTTATGTTTCTAGTGGAAGTACTCAAGCTGCAAGTGTAATGCTGTGACAGCAGCAATATGGGAAACAATGCATAGCATTTCAGTTTCCTTTATACAAAAGTTCAGTACATGCATATAAACCTGCTCAGATTTCCAGCAGTGCGTAATATAGCCTTGTTATTCATAATTGCATAGCTCTGATGGTGCGCACTGAATATTAGCCTAAAACAAGTTTCCCACCCATCCCAGGCTTGACTCAAAGATGAAGATGGGGGAGAATGTTGAAACACTGGCCTAACATGTTTGAGGATGCTCCCCGGGTGAGAGTTATAATACTGTTTGATTGGAATACTCATAACTTGGGAAGTGCATAGAAGCTCCGGTAAGAGGCAAAAAAGAGACCTGGAAAATATTTTTTTAGATGCCACATCTGTTAGCCAGACACTGCATTACCAACACAGAAAAAAGCTAATTAATTTTGCCTTAATGCTCCCCTATGTGTATATTTGGAACTAAATAGGAAATTTATAACCTTCAGGGAAAGTGTGAGATTGTAACAAAACACACACATTTTCCCTTTTCATTCTATGGAGTTATTGTGCAATATTTGATGTTTCTTCACAGTCAGCAGCGCCAGTAAACATTGCCTCATATTCACTGGTCTCAGTTACATTGTAACAATAGTTTCTTTTGGTTCACTTTTGGTAAATGTCCATTAAAGTACAAGTAGTACTCAGTTTTAGAAGTGAAAATTAAAATGGTGTTTCCACATAGGTATTTCCTGATTATATATAAAAGGAAGAAAGAAAGAAAGAATACACACATATACATATACACACACACACTCACACTCTCACAAAAGACCCCCCTTTGGGGGAATGACCGTAAGAGGTCACAAGTTTTTCTATGAGCAAATGGGAGCTATTCAGCAGGCATCCTCTCTTGTCCCCCACCCTCTAAACAATAACAAAATGGGTTGAATGTTCAGGCTGGAAGATTTTAATTATTAGCATAGGAATCCTGAAAAGCCTCAAATATATTTTGCTTTTCCAACCTGCATCAAATGGTATTACAACTGCACAAAATGATACTTGCAGACATGCATAAAGATACTGATCAGACCTTTAAAAGCCATAAGAGTAACAGCAAAACATGTTGTTATCTGGATTCTGCATAAAGATAGCAATTTCAGAGGAAAAATAAAGAGTGATGTATAAGCAACTTTAAACTGCCTATGTAATAAGGACTTATCATTTCACTGAAAAATGAATTGCTTAGAAAACAAATTCTTATTTTTTTTTTAGAAAGATGATAACACAACTTCTATATATATTTTTAAAAAGCTTGTTAAACAATGCCAAACGGTCACTGATTTTCAGTAAGTTTGGGGAATGATGCCTGCTTGCTACTCTGATCCTACAAAATGAAAAACTGTATATTCACAGCTTAATTTTATTAGCCAACTGTTGCCACAAGGTTTTTCAACTATGCAAAGTTGCCAAACTAGCCACATGCAGTATATAATATATTCATAGAACCACATCCAGATTTCTAACAATGTGGCATAATTAGTCCAGCAGCATAAGTGTTTACTGAACCAATAGGTATTTTCCACTAATATTTGATGCTTTTTAGCCAGCAAAGAGTTATTTTTCAGAAGAAAGCCTGAAATGGGAGCAGAGAAATATCCCTTGATATCTATTCCATTAAGAGTTCGGAGAATACTGCAAATAAGTAAACACAGATGTGTTTCTATTAATCTAAGTTAGAGATTAATTCAGAAAATACAAATAAAAGTTTTGTTTACTTTAAAAAAGAAAGAGCTGTGCAACAATGTTTAATGGATGAGTGCTTAATTATATTTTGCTACCCCTACTCATGAAATACCATAATCAAATAATAAGCAATCAATCACTGATGATTTGCATCACTTAATACATCATAAAACTGTGGTTTTAAATACTTTATCTACATAATTCTTGCTAAATCACAGAAGGGAATCACATACCAAATCTCAGGATAGAAGTCAATGTATTATTGAGTTAATCCTTAGGAAGAAAAAAGAGTACAAACTAAGAATAACTCATAGTTAACTTAATATATACTATTTGTTTCTCTACAGCTCCTGATAATGTCATCCTCCTATCCAATTTACTGTATTCTACTGAGTTCAGTTGGACTTACTCTTAGATTAGTGTGTATAGGATTATAGTTTCAGGTGGACTGGATGGGTCTTCTACATGCTGTGTATAATTAGGTTGTCCCAATCTATCCTTCAACTGCCAGGCTTTTCTCAATATGATTGTTCATGTGCAGAAACACTGATACACATTTCCAGAACATTTAAAGGAGAAAACATTGAGAAGAGCAGCCACTGAAGAGGACCAAAATCAAGGCTCCCCTCTTGGATAGGAGCAGATGGTTAAGAACAAGTGTGAATGAATAGCAGACTTCCTTTGCTAAGCTTAAAATAAGAACATAAGTCTCTTCCCACTATACTGGTCAGAAAGTGAGCCTTCACAAATGTTGATCACTTACATGTGAAATGTCATTATGTGCTTCATATCTGACCTTTTAGGGTCACACCTTTTTCTTTTCTCTTCCCCTCCTTTTTGTTACAACACTGAAGCCTAATTCATTAGCAGGGGTGTCTGCAAGGGGTGGGCAAAAAAGCCACGGTGGTGGCCACAACAGGGCAATCGATGCTCCACCTGTGTTTTGTCCTTAACTGAAATATTGTGGCCACCATCTTGACTTTTTTGACCAAATCCTGTGGACACCCATGTTCATTAGTAAATGACTTTGAATTCGTAATTAAAATATTTTGTTTTTTGAATTTTGAATGTTACTGAATAGAAGTAGAACCTATGACTGTTATTGCTCTGAGCACTTTGAACCTATTTTACTCCTTAAACTTAAGCAAACAACAAAAACAAAGAGCAGCAACTGTTCAGCTGGAATGAAGAGCTCCCAGAAAGGTGTTTGCTCTTTTTAAAGGAAGAAATAACAATGTTGACATTCAGCTAATTTTGCTAGCTGAAAATGTGATTTAAGAATTTAATTCCTAAATTGAAAGAAATGAGAACATGGCGAGTCAAAGTAGCAGAAGACTGCATCCTCGAGGCTGAGTAAATGAAGACACTGTCCCTGCAGTGTAACAAGACAATCTGTCTTCAAAAGGGTCTTGTTTGGTAACCAAAGAGCGAATGTAATTCACGGGAGGAGTATTGATTACGCTGATATCCTGACTAGGTGGCAGGTTAATTGAGAAACGCAGGCATACGATTCTCCAAAGCAGCTCTAAAAGATCTACTTAGGGGACACCTAGCATATAATCCGTCTCATTTAAGTGTTGAATCATGTTATTATTTGAGGTGGCAAGCAACTTTGGCAATAATAATGATAACAACACTTTTATTGCTGCTGTCAGCGCTGATAGGAAAGAAAATGACACAGGAGCTCCCCTTTCGTTCTTCTTTTGATCCCTTCCTCGCCGAGGCAAACTTTTCCTCCCCACAATGCGAAACAGAGCAGGTTCTCTTAGCCGAAAGAGACACCCAGGCTGCCCCACCGCCATACCCACGCTCCGCGTTTGCCCATTGCAAACAAGCTTCCACTCATTCTGCGTAAGTAGCTTCCTGCACACTCAGCTTTCCCTCCACCTTCAAGGTCTGAAAATACAAGTCCTCCTGGTTTACACACGCAGGCTTTATTTTCCAGAGGGGTAGCACCTCCACCTCCATAAACGCGTCCTGTGTATGTGAGAGAGCGCGTGAGTGACTGAGTGGTATCTGCGTGCTTCTGGAGCAGACCAAGACGACGCACGACTGCACCACGCCGTATTCTCCGCCCGCATTCGGAGGTGGGAGCGAGACCAGCGCGGCGCGAGCGGCCGCCTGGGGTATTTTCAGCTCCCGTTCCGACCCGCTGCTCCCCTGTGATGTCAGGTCTACTATATGACTACACACTGCCCGGCGTGTTTTCGAACAGCCTGGGAGCAGGGAGGAAAGAGGGAGGCTGACTCTCCGCCTCGGCCCCGGTCTCTCTGGCTCACCATTGGGCAATTACGTAAATGTCAGCTGCCTTCCCTTTCTTCCTCCTTCGGCCCCCTCCGCTTCGCCTAGTTATGCAATACCCAACGCAAACATCTTACTGTACCACACACGCCGCTCCAAACAGGGCGGAGAAAGTGTAAAGGGAGAGGGGCGGGAGGGAAGGGAAGGAGGGGGAGAGGGGCTCAATTCAAGTCTGGTCCTGCCCTTGTCACTTCCCTGCGGGAGGCCTCCATTGGCTGCTCCCCGAGAAGCGCCGAGCTCTGATTGGCACCGCGCAACCGCCCGTCACTGCAAAGGCTGGCAGGAGAATTGTACGTTGTGGGGAGTGTACAGTATTGACCTACTAACACAGATCTCTCTCTAGCAGCGGTGGCGGCGGCGGCGGCGTTCGCGGCAGCGTTCGTAGAGTCGGCGAGAAGACCCAGTTGCCGCTCCGCCTGACGTACTCACTCGCGCTCCCTCCTCCTCACCCGGGAACTGCTTCTGGCTGCTTCCAGCAGAGGCGGCGGCGCTCCCATTGATCAGGGGTCTTCCAGAAGTCTCCCCTCGAGGCTTTCCGGCTCCTCAGCGCCTGGACACTTGGTCAGCCCGCTCGGCCCCCAAAGCGGCAACTGCTGAAGAACGCGGCCAGATCTCAGAGGGAGCTTCTGGGGAGACGGACACGCTGTCTCACCGCGCTAAAGGAGATCGCTAAGATATAGATGTATAGGTATCTATCTATCTATCTATCTATCTATCTATCTATCTATCTATCTATCTATCTATCTATCTATC